ATTTAAATACTGTAGATGCGTGAATTCAGCAAAATAATCCAATCTAGTCCAGTAGTCCATAACAGTAATGGGTTATCCGCAGGACTGGCAATGTCTGAATCTGATGACTTGAGCCTTCCACAGCTCAGCATATTAACATGGCTTCACTTTTCATACCTCGTTTCTACACTTTTCTGCTGGATGGTTAAGACAAAGATAAAGTAAGACCTATATAATAAGTTATGTAACTTTTGTATCTGACACAGTCAGTCAAGTTCCCTCAGGACTTATCCCGAAACTCTGTACCGCACTTTGTAGATCTTTTGTCAGTGTCAGCCATATGGATGAGTTATGGCATTGCTTGACCAATTTGCTCTCTGTGAAAGCCTGAGAGAATGTTTTCTCTCCATGTGACTCTCCTTAGGCATACTCTACATCATCAATCACTTTCCTCTGTGGCCCCATAATCTCCTTGATCAGAAAATTTGGGACACAACTGAGTTACATGATGTTACAGTACAGGTTCACCTATGTCCTGAGTCTTCACTGACCTTGAAAAGCTACAGCTGAAATGTTGGCTGTCCTTGCAACCCTTCTTTTTCTCTAATTTTTGGTCTCCAAACTTAAGCTGTTAACTGTCCAGAAGAGACACTTAATGATATTATTACCCTATAACATAGGCAGGTGAGCTTAACCTCACTATCTGTCTGAATATCAAACATCTTAGACATAACATGGAACGAGTATTTTCCATCAAGTATTGATATGTTAAACTTTAGATCCCTACAGATGTGAACAAAAATAAGTATTTTTTAAAAATAGGAATCAAAAATTTCATATTTTTCCACAGAAATTTAGAAATCTAACCATATACAGCATTGAAGCAGGACTGTCCTATGACTTCTTTTCTTGTCTCTTGTTTTCATTTGTTACCCTTTTTTTTTTTTTAACAAACATTTACTTGAGGACAGTATAGCAGTAATTGATATGACAAGCGTATGCATTTTGAAGACCAGAATGACAGGCATTCCAAGCATGACCCTAGTATTACACATTGCTATCTTCAGCGCAGTTGCTTAGTTCACAGGTATCAGTATTTAAAGTTAGTCAGGGTGAGAATCCTACCAATTAACTGCTAGTGTCAAAAACCTGCTGAAGATTCTCAGGATCATTGCCTTAACCATCTTGTGCACATAAATGTATGGCTTTGCCCCTGTCATGTTTCTTAGCTTTTCTCCTTGCCTGCCTCTTCATTGTTCAATCCTTAAATTGAACACATGCACCTCTACAGGCAGAAAAAAAGGCATTTAAAAAAAATGTTCCTACATTTGACTTTATAACTGGCATCCCTCTACTCAAGTAATATTTAAATATTTACCCAGTACCTAAGAACTAAGTACTATGATTCTATGAGTGAACAAATTACTATGTGTCCTCATAATGCTTACAGTCCCTGAGGAAAACCAAGTACTATTACCTCATTTGCTTCACTCTGTTGCTGTTCTTTCTTTTTTCTTCTTTTCTCTCTTTTTTTCTCATTTGTAGTTGATTTGCTTCCCACAGTTTGAGACTTTCCAGTATTCCGGCCTTTGCCTTTTCCAGGCTCAGAATCAGATCCACTGCCACTATCAACTTGTAAGAGCGCAAAACGAGAGGCCGTAGTGGGAACAGAACTCAGAACTGCTGAGGCCATGGTACAGTTTTCTTTTAAATGCTTATATTAAAAATAATTCCTGTGAGAAAAAGAAAACAAATGAGTAAATGTACTTAGTAAAATTTGTTCTAGACTTTAGAACAGCCATAAATATACATTTCTCTTGACATCAGATATTGTACTGTATTTAGACCCATATTAACAGTCCCACTGACAATACAAATTTATTCAGGAAAAATGACATACTGATATTTCAGATAACTGTTATAAGACTACCATCATTATGTGTTCATTTTTTCATTTATGAACTTTAAAAAAATCCTGACTGTCCTTTCCTTGAAATACTCCTAACATACAGTATAACATTTATGGAAAAGATCTCATATAAATATACTTTATAATAGAAAAAGTGGAATACCATTTTTCACTGTATACAATTTCATTTGTCCTATATGTTTACACTTAGTTTCCAAAATTGAAAAAAAAAAAACAGAAAACATTCTCATATATATCCAAAATGCTTTGACTCAAGAGATTGGCTTAGAATTGAAAACAAAAGAACTTAAATCCCCCCAAGCAAGGGAAACTTTTCAAAATTATCTCCTACACACACAGATGGGTATGTTCATTTTACTTAAGTTTTTTATCACCACTTCAAGAGACTTATAAGGGATCTTAAAGATCCTCTAGTAATTTCCAGCCAATTTTGTCTCATAGATGAGATAACTGGAGCTTAGATTGGTTAAATGACTTGCATAAGATCATTCTACAAGTTAGCTGCAGAGTCACAACTGGAACCTCAGTTTCCTGAACCTTACTCATCAAGTTCAAAACAAATTCTGTATTTACTACAAAACTAAATACTCTTGTAATTTTTTTTTTTTTTTTTTGTATTTAGTATAGGATCTACAGGGTCTCACTAAACAGATCAGACTCATAGTGGTCCTCCTGTTTTCAACCTCCCAAGAGCTGGAATTACAGGCACAGGCCACCACGCCCAGCCTCAATCCTGTCTCAGTGTACCCTGGGGGCAGGGCTGTCATGGCACTGCCTAAACAGGTGCTTTAATCCACTCAGCTACTTGGCCAGTCCTTCTGCCAATTTTTTTTAAAAATAATTTTTCTCCTTTTGTGTGTATGCAAGTGTGTTTAGCTGAAAACTGAACCTAGGCATTAATGTATGTGAAGCATGTATTCCACCCTTACACTGGCCTCCAACAGCCTTCTCATACTGCCATCATCCAAAGGTAGTTACTATCTTGAGCTTTAATAACTTCTGTTTTATAGTTTTATTACACTATAGCTTGAGTCACAATGCTCATATCTAAAGTAGATGATAACGCTTCCATTGTATCTCACTGGTCATACACGTTTCTTCTTATAGCACATACTGCAGTTATACTACCATTCAGGAAAGAAAATGAAAAATACATATTAAATTTTTAATCATTAGAATCCAGAAAAAAAAATTGGCAATCTTTCAATTTGTCTATTATACAAGTGAAGAAATATCATGAATTGATATTTGAAGATGTCGTTGAGCAGTCACGAAATCAAAGTTTTTTTAAATTGTAATACAATGTTACTACTTGATATTCTTGTATCTAACAACATGCAAATCAAAATAAAATACAACATACATTGATGACATCATGCTGACATATTTCAGGCTTAATTCTTTTCTAAAAATCTAAGGGCACCACAAATTATTATAAGGGAAAATATTATAAAAGTAAAAAGGAATTCCAGACTCAGTAAGTACTGCAAAGCCAGGCATGGTGGCCCATACCCTTAATCCCAGCACTTGGGAGGCTGTGGTAGGAGGACTGCCACAAGTTCAAGGCTTGCCTGGGCTATGTAGTGAGTCCAGGTCAACCTGAACTAATAGTAAGACCCTGTCTGGAAAAAACAAACAAACAAAAAACCTGTAAAAAGATACTGTGAAGAGCAGGGTAGCTCAGTAGAATAAGCACTTGCCTCGCAAGGGCCTGAGTTTAATCCCTGGTTTCGCAAAAAAAATAAATTATGAAAAAGTAATTCTATTTCAATTTCAATATCTTCCCAATACAATGTTATGAAAATTTTAGTTGTTTTGAGCACTATAGGTACAATAATTCTATCTAGCTGTTCAACAACTACCACTATATCTAACTGTTTGGCTATAAAATTCAAGTGGCTGCTCTTTTACTGCTCACAAATACTCATGCTCCACTCTGAAGGATTAAGTATCACTTCACTGTTGAATACCAGCATGACTTACTTTGCCAGGGAAATGCAAGCTTTAAAAAGCTTTAAAAGTCAGTGACTCACCAAGTTTTTTTTTCTCTGTGTCTGTGATTATGAAAGCAAAAGCTGACATGGGCTCTCCACTGTGCTAATCTGACAGAGTCTGAAATTATACTGATCAAAGCCCCTTAGTAACTTGCGATGGACATGTACCTTCAGAAAAGCTTTGCTGCTTTAAGCTGCTGAGTTTCAAGTTGCTACTGCATTATAACAAACCTTTATATAATTTATACTTTAAACAAATTTTCTTTCCTTATACAGGGATTTTCTTTTTGGGGGTGCTGGCTCAGGCTGCCTTAAGGGCAGGTCTGGTACGGCATGTGGTACTGGGGATCGAACCACAGTCCCTTGCCCCTGACTGATTTTGCCCAAGCAGGAACTTTAGACAACTGAGGTAACCCGCCAGCCTCCTACAACTGATATCAAAACCATGAATTTTGTACTTGAGTTGTAGAACTCACACACAGAGTTAAATGTTTATTATTTTTATCCTAACACATTCCACCAAAGCATACAGAAATTTCCTTTTTGTGGTATAAAGCAGAACTTCCACAACCAGTATATCCTTAAAGTTTCTCTAAGGTGTTCAGGCAGTGAGGAAAACCCTGGAGAGATATAAGGCCTCTGGGATGGTCTCCTTCAGATGCTAGGAATCCCATGTGGTGTTTAGCTCCTACATGTGCTACTCATCTTGTTCTGTCAACTGTGACCAAAAAAAAAAAAAAAAAAAAGGTGCTGAATCTCCTAGAATTCTGCTTTATCAGACAAACGCAGAATGCACTGCTGCTGTTATGGAAAGAAGACTCATGGAGGAAGAGTCCAGCATGTCCTAGTGAGCAAAGCCCCAAATAATGGCCTTAAACCCCCATTTGCCAGAGATGTGCCCTATCAATAACGCAAAATCTAACTGCAATGTAGACCGGTCAAACAATGTGTGCACCTTTCAGCAATTACAGTTTTGTCACTATTTTAAAAACTTGAAGTTAGAAAATTCATTTTGTTTGTTTGTTTTTGCTGTACTGGGGATTGAACTCAGGACCTTGTGTTTTCCAGGCAGGTGGTCAAGCCATTGAGCTATATTCCTGGCCCTAAAGTTAGAAAATTCAAATGAGCCTGAAATTCATTTTACCACAGGAAATTCTGTATTATTTACATTACTTTGTGTTAAAGAGTTATTAGTCTTTATAAATTGAATACTCAGACAACACAAGTTATCTGTGTTTATTACTCATACAATTCTATTACAGAATGACAAGAAATTACTTAAAAGTCTAGATGAAGAACTACATATTTTTATTTCATAAGCATGATATAGTATTTTAAAATTTATATTCACAGATGCAAGTATAATTTTCTCACTAAAAATCTTGAAAAGATTTTGAAGATTTAAAAATGACTGAGAACATGGGACTCCACTGTGAAACAAGCTCTGAAACTCAAACCAGTATGTGCCCCATCTAGAAATGAAGGCTTTAATCTCTGAAATGAAAAAGTGTTTAGTCATGGACTAGTTCAATAGGCACTGCCACAAGTCAGAGACCCGAAAATTGTATCTAACATACTGCAGAAGGAAAACATCAATTTACCTTAACCCCAAGAATCACAGCTGTCCTAAACTGCACATGCCCTGAATGAGTGAAAAGAAATAACAAAAGATAAAAGCAAAAGGAAAGCATTAGAATGAATGTTAACTGAGGAAAGAACCAATGATAAATACCTGAAAAACAAAATTTTTTTTCTGAAAAAACTGTACCACTCAACACTCTGCAAATACTTCAATCTTGAAAGGTAGACTATAAAGAGGGAAATACCTGTAAGTATCCCTTGTTTGATCTGAGTAAGGTGCAAAAAAGAACAGAAGAATGGCAGCCACCTATGTTGTTTTTTACATAGCAGGAAAAATTAAAGACAAAACATAGATCTCAGTCTGCAGCCAAAGGGGTAGGAAATGAGACAACCAGAAGGGTTCAAACTACTTCATGTTGTTCTCTAAAAAACAAAAGATATCATCTATGTATAAAATACTAAAGAAACCCACATACCATGCCAAAGGACATACTAACCAGTACTTCGGAAGTGGTAAGTGGGAAATGTAGATTTTAAATAAAAGATGGAACTATAGCAATATATAAGTAATCCTCAACTTGAAAATATGCACATTATCAACCTACCCACCCCCCCCAAAAAAATGCACACTACTTATACTTCTTTCCCTTTCTACAGGTTTTACAGTTTTCCCAAATAGTTTACAATGATCATATACTTCCATAAGGAAAAAGATTCACTTTGAAAAGTGAAAGTTAGTGCATATTCAAAATGTTAAGTATAATGTAATCAATGAAATGCTATTTTTGTGCTCGTTTAAAAATTTACAAAGTATAAGTCTACAGGTCACAAGTGACAATGAGACACTTTACTCCTTTATGTTGGGGGCCTGCCCATTAGATCAGTCGTTTAAGTGCCTGCTGAAACAAAGCAGTGAGGCTCAGGATGCTGTGATTCAATCCCCAGATCATCAAGCCAAACCAGACCTGCCCTGAGGCAACCAAAAAAAAAAAAATCCTTTATGTTAGTGATGCAAAAAATCAAATGATAGTGAACAACTGTCAAAGACTAATTACTGCATGCTTTTAGAACATTACATTAATGTTTAAGAATTTAAGAAGATAGTCATGTTGTACAATCCAAAAACTTTCTGCAACTTTTTTAAACCTTAAGAGACCATGAAGACACCAAATTTATTTATTTACTTATTTACCATTACTGGTAAGCAAACTTGGGACCTTTTGCTTGTCAGGCAGGCACTGAAGCCATTGAGCTATCTCCCCAGCCCCAGACATCAGCTTTTCAAGATACTACTTAAGGACTTAGCTGAGGTTAGTATTCTCTTGAGTGTTGGATCATAAACTTCTGCCTCCCCACATTCAGCCATAGCTAAAGGCTATTAGTATAAGCAATTTAAATACAGCTTTTCTCCCTCCGCTATTTTCCTTTCTCTTTCAAACCCATCTGGTCTTCAGAATTTAGATATTTACATGCTCACTTATATAGTCCTATGTAATATACTTAAGACACAATACAAATGAAAGTATGGTGGACCTTTACTAAGCTGTGTATGTTAATATGTGCACAGTGCCTAATGCACATTAAGTAAGAAATCTAATAATTATTCTGTACTTTTCCCTTCTCCCTTTGAATCTCCTAAAAATTTAAAATATCCCCAAGGCTGGAGGTATTAATCAGTGGTCCATTTGCTTTAACATTCACATGGGCCCTGGTCCACTGTAAAAAGAACAAACAAATGAATAAATAAATAAATAGAGCAAGGGACATAGCTCAGCAGCACAGCACCTTCCTGGCAAGTTCAAGGTCCTGAGTTCGATGCCTGGTACTAAATAAATAAATAAATAAATGTAAAAAATAAGAACAAATCTTTCCTTTAAAAAATTTCCAAGGCTAACACTGTATAAGCTGAAGGCAAAAGAAATTCCCAAGATCATTTAAAAAGCAGTAATGTTTCAGGTAAAAATTTAAAAGACCAAGTAAGTTCACAATTATAATACACAGGAAACACACAAATGCATTCCTTATTATACTATCATCTTTTATAATCTCATGACTACCATTAGTAAGACTACTAATTCCTGTAGATGTGAAAATAGTGATATCAAAAGCATATGAAGCCTTCATTTTATAGTCAATATCCAAAAAGCTACTTTTCAACTTACTAAATGTTATAACATATGTTAAGGCTTTCTATAACAATTCTTTGGTTTGTATCTGAACTCCAAGAAAACCAACTACTTAGAATTTCCTGAACAAAAGTTAACTTGTTCCTATCAGTTAATATTATTCCTTTTGCCTGTGACATCCTTTATCCTCACTTAAAATTTTTAATTTATTCCTCAAAATCCTGTTCAATGGCTAGCATTTCTATGAAGCATTCTCCGACCTGTCCCTCAAATCAATCAATTTCAATTTTCCTTATTTGTAGTAGTAAAAGGACTACATAAAAATAATCTATTGCACTTATCTCAGCAGGATCCTGATTTGAAGGTAGGGACTCATCTTCTATTGCATTTGTCAAGTTCAGAAAGAAGTTTATTCAACTTAGTGGGAGTTTTACATGTTATAGCCACCTATGTACTCAAAGATATGCTGGCTCATTAGACACTGTGGCACACATGAAGCCTGAGGTAATTGCCCAACACCCACTATAAAACACAAACAAAATTAAACTCCTTCCCAAAAATTAAAATTCATTTATAATTCAGTGGTATAGCAATTCTGTGGCACATCCTGAGACCTGGGAACATTTCCAGTAACAATCCCCCAGGTTCTATGGAAGATGACGCAGGAGGACTACAAGTTCAGGGCCAGCGTAGGTGATTCAGCTAGACTTTGACTCAAAATTTAAAACAACAAAATAAAAGGAAAAGAAAGCAAGTCTGCCTATATGGTTCAGCATTCCTGGGTTCAATTACCAGTGTACCCCCAACCCCCAGCACAAAGTACAAACTGGTACTGAATATGGATGTAAGGATTTCACACATAAATAAAGTACGTATATTTTTACTTGCCCACAATATTTTGGGGGAGAGGTATTGGGAATTGAACCCATGGCCTTCACTCTATTCGACATCCCTAGCTCTTTTTTGTGAGAATCTGGCTAAATCAAGCAAGGTCAAGGGAAATCGTGATTCTCCTGAGATTATAGGCATGGACCACTCACCACACCATACTGTTCTTTTGACCAACTAGGTACTTGCTCTTACTCTATGGAGCTGAACCCAACAGACTGACTCTGAATCATATAGGTAAGTTTTTAACGACCATATATGACAAGAACATTTCATCAAACAGAATTTAACTACTTTTTAGTATCAAGCTGTTGGGGAAAAAAACATTAGATTTTTATAGAGATTTTTCTTTTTTAATTAACATATATGTATGTATATACATATATATGTATTTTTTATTTTTATTTTATTTTATTTTTTGAGACAGGGTTCTCACTATGGAGTTCAGGCTGCCTTCCAATTTGGTATGTAGTCCAGGCTGGCCTTGAGCTCATAGCAGCCTCCTGCCTCAGTCTCCTGAGATTACAGTTGGGCACCACCATGCCCAGCTAGAGATTTTAATATAGAACTCTAATTTTCCATACGGCTTCACAAATATTTTTATGACTACAAGACAAATTTATTAGCCTGATTCTGGGTATAATCGCATTTACTATATAAAGATGCAATAGTAAACAGCGAAAAAAAGTCAATGACTTTTCAGTATAAGAAACACGATTTCAACTGAAAAAAAAAAAAAAAAAACTCACTAAGGTATAGAGGAGAAAAGGGATGCAGAAAAACGAAAGACCACGTAATAAACTACTTTTTCGCTTCTGTTGAATATTTGTTAAATATACTAGATGTTAAAGATGCCCCCAAAATTTTTATAAGTACTAAACAATAACGCCCAAAAAAAAAAAATTACAATTCTGCTCGTTTACCTTTTAGTAGCTGGTCCCACACCCAAGAGTACTCACTGCACGGTACCTCATTTCCGAATAAGCCCAATTCACCCGCAGGCTACGACCAATGCTCCAAAACTTCCTCGCAACTACGCAGATGAAGACCCAGGGCCGGCGAGACTCGGCTCCGGCAGAAACGGCTTCAAACCTGAAAAGCAGCACACAGAGAGTCAGGTCGTCGCTCCAGAAATTTCGAGCGCCGGCTCGGGCGGGGGCGGCGGCACCTGTCACTCGCGGCCCGGCCCGGGTCCCCCGTCCCGCCCGCCGCGGCCCTGCCCAGAGCG